AATTAAACCACTTCTGTACATATTTTGGGTGCCTGACGTGCCTCACGAAGCTTGTCATTGCGCCTGCTACTTTAAGTTCAGTCGTGCCGTAAATACCTTCGTCAACACACACTTTCCAAATGGACAGGTATTGGAATCAGAAGAGAGCAAACAATTAATTAGTTAGAACTTTCATGAAGACAGAATGGAATAGACCGCTGTCTGTGAACCGAGGAAGCTAAACATTCTTATTGAGAGTGTTGACATGTTCTGTTCGTTGACTTGAAAAATAATATGTCATATGCACTAAATGTCATTCGATAGACACTCACACAGCGTTCTATTTATTTAGCAAACGAGTACGTGCTCTCGAAACCCTTGTTTGTAAGTCAACGCAGTACTGCCACTGATCTCAATGACTGTCGCAACTGGACTACGGCATGTCGCACTGTGCGGCACGCAGTGGAGATCTCTAATGAAGGAGATGAAATCTATATCGAACACGCGCAAGGACGACCTTATATGGAATGCGAAAATGTTACTGAACTGTGGGCAAGCTCCATCCAGTTGAAAAGCTCGATTTCTTTTCACGGAATAAATGGAAGACCGATAATTAGATGCAAGAGGAGTTTTACACTTTTTGCCATAAATAACAAACGTTTGGCTGGAGTTAACGTGGGCTTTTACAGCTTAGTTTTACAATCCGCAAATACAGCTGTGCAATGCAACGTCACCGCATTTAGAGTAATCATAGAGAATACTACCTTCACAGATAACATAATAGGCGTATACAGTAGGAACTCAATAAACTGCGACATTAAGATTCACAATTCAATATTTCAGGGAAAATCACATGAGGCAATTTGGCTGTGTTGTACTAACCTCACAGCACATATAACTAACAGCGTTTTCAAAAGAAATTCAATTATACTTCGAACTATTCACAACAAGCATCGCGAAGACGCTCAAACGTTCGAGGTGCTTGTCCGTCGAAGCATATTTGACGGTCAATACACTGCAATCCCAAGAGATATGTTTTGTGTAAGTCCCTATGCAGTGAGAATAAACGTTTCGATATGGAGTTCCACGTTTTCAAATAATCACGGGGATCGAAATGTTAGGCCGTTATTAATAAGTGATCATAATCCAAGCAAACGTAATATAACGTACGTATCATTAAGGAATATCAAAGTGGAGAACAATTTGTCACCTGTGAGAATCATAGTGACATCCAACGCACAATCTCCCCTTCTGGTAGAAATACTGGACAGCGTATTTAGAAATAATTCATGTGCTTTAGTGATCGATAACTTCTTCCATTACGGAAGTAAGAAGAGAGGGAGCGCAACAGCCTTTCTACGCAACATTACCTTTACACAAAATTTCAACCATTTTGACTCATTGAATCCTTCATCAGCGATATTTTTTAAGGGAGGGAAGTTACGAGTGACATCATGTCGTTTCCTTGACAACAAAGTGAGTAAAAGGCCGTTCACCGGAGTCGTCAGCGTTTCAGAAGAAACAATCGTCACATTCACTGACTGTCATTTTGAAAACCGTCAAATCAATTCATTTGCATGCCAGTTCTACGCAAGTGGACGAACTTGGGTTTCCTTCATGGGCTCGAATGTATTTAACATGACCGCTTTGAACACTGACCAAACAGTTTTTCTACGCACGCCTTTGCTTAAATTGAAAGAAAAGGTAGTTGCTTTTCGTGGTAATTCAGTCAAAGTCCTTTGTCCACAAGGGTATGTACTGGAATCTCAAAAGATGTGCAAAACCTATGGACGCGAAATACATTGTACATACGTTTACATAAGCTGCGAGAAGTGTCCGCAAAAAACGTATGCAATCAAAAGAGCGCAATTCACGATTACTGCAATCGACAACGTTCAATGCAAGCCTTGTCCTCGAGGGGGAAGCTGTCTTGATGGTGTCGTCAAAGCGAGACCAAATTTCTGGGGATACAAAGCTAACACCTCGATCAAGTTCGCGCAATGCCCGCCGGGATATTGCTGCGATTTCAAGAATTGCGTCAGCTATGATAGCTGCTATGGTAACCGAACTGGAACGCTCTGCGGTCATTGCGCCAGCGGAATGTCCGATGGTTTGTTCAGCTCGTCATGTATTTCTAATGCAAAATGCTCAGTATCTTTATTCATCCCAAGTGCACTAGCCATATTGGTTCTCTACCTTATCTTCTTCCTTTACCACGAGGAGATCGAAAGGATTATCTCGAAAATTCTTTTTAGCAGCTTGAAGATTTTCACCTCGCGGCGAATTCTTGCTAGAGCCCCATCGAATGAAAGGAATCGACGCGGTGGAATGATCAAGGTGGTGTTCTATTACTACCAAGTGGTACGATTGCTTCAAGGCACCGTAGGATCACAGAAACGAAACCACATAATCGGAAATCTGGAAGATTTCATCGCACGAATTTTGAACATGGTTTTTGTCGACACGACGCTTTTGAATTGTCCGTTTCAAAGTCTTCAACCCGTTCAGAAAGCCGCGATACTGCACTCTGTTGGTTATTTCCTGTTAGGATTGTTGGGAATACTTTACATCATCTCAGTTCTTGTTCAGAGACTTCGAAAATTCTTAAACTCTGGATACAACGAGATGACGAACATAGCAGCAAATGAAGAGGCCAGGCAGTCATGGACGTTCAAGGCGCGTATTGCTTCAGCTTTTACCTACATATCGTTATTGATGTACGCTTCTTCCACCCAGCTCTGCCTTTCTCTTCTCCATTGCGTACCAGTTGGAAACAACCAGGTTCTGTTTCTTGATGGGAATGTAAAATGCTACCAAACATTTCAATATATTCTTCTTGGCTACGTTGTATCATCGGTGTTTCCGTTTTGTCTCGTTCCTGTCCTTGGTGCGTATCTTTTGAAAATAAATCGCATTTCCGTTTCACAATTCTTCATCGCATGCATATTCCCGTTGCCATTTTGTTGTTTCTGGATCTATTTACTACTCAGGGAGTATCGTTGGCAGAAACGAGCTGGCAATGACACTAGGGAATCCAGCGAAAATTCTAGAGAGGCTAGTGAAGATCATTGCGTGAAAAGTTCTTCTGAAGATCATCCAATCCAGCAGTTAGCAGATCAAAAACATTGTCAACGTCAACACACACACAGCTGTTGCCAGGAGCAAATACGCGAGGACAGGCCCACATGCAGCGAGAGTAGTTGTAAGATCCAAAACAACGAAGCCATTCTTCGGGTTCTTCTTGGTCCATTCAGAAGTCACAAAGCATTCCTATGCATCCCTGACTCTATTGTTCCATGGGAAGGTTACTTGATATTCAGAAGGCTGGTTCTTATAATTGTGCTCACATTCGTGCACGATAATCGAGTCAAAATGATGCTAACTTTGACACTCTGTGTCGCTATTCTCGCATCTCACATGTACATTAAACCTTTCACTCGTCCAAGTGTCAATGCCATTGAATCACTCTCACTTTCTGTTTTGACCGTTCTTTGTGGTTTCACTTTAATTAAAAGCCTTTATTATGGCGAGGATTTCTCATCGCTTTCAGACAATGTCCGTTTGCTCAACGTCTTCAGTACGATCGAAAATATCCTAGTCGTTGCTCCATTGGCGATCCTACTACTCATAATAGTAATATCTGTATTGGGAAGGTTAATGGTACTGATTCGAAAATGCGTCGGATCATGCGCGAAGTAATCGTTTATGTACATGTTTTCTCAAAAGAGGTGAACAATGCAAGATTCAAAGGTGTATGCCGTGAATTAAAGCATTTGGTTGAAGCAAACTTTACCATGCGTGGCGTAGGATAAACAAACTGAAAGGACTGTTGCTAAATTTACGCGGTGTCTATGCTTGTGACTATACTACATAGTTAACAGCAGCTATGCTGAGTTCAGATAATAATCTATTCAGTGGTGTTTTTGTTTGTGTCTAGAGCATACCTTTGGTTAATATAATTTTCTCTTGTTTAGTTAACAATGCGTAGTAAATTACCCCGCCTTGTAAAGGCATTACGCTGTTCCAAAATTTTGCACTTTAGAGGAAGTTAAAAAAATACTTAATAAAGTATTCAAATCTGTCCGTAATTTCCAACTTTTTTGGGGGAACCCGTGAACACTGGTGTAAAGATAATTATATATAGCTATAGGTTAATCATAGCACATATACTAGATGTAGAAGATATTAAACTTACATTTGCATTGTATTCCACATCTGTTTCGCTTTCTATGCTTCCTTTTTTGTTTTCAATTTCACTTCCTCGTTCCGTTGGTAAAGAACGCTCTATGAAAAATTCTTTATCTTGGCTTTCTTTACTGCTTTTAGCAGTCAAACCATCTACACTCGTTTGTTCTGTGGCGTCTGTCCCACCCAGTACATCTGCTTCATGTGAGCTTGCTTGATCAATAGGAAAAGGAAATCCTTTCAAAAGCAGTTAAATAAACGACAGATATCTATTCGTTCTACCCAAATGATTCAGATATGACTTCCACTATAGGTACCGCTGCCATTTGCTTATTTATTGTGCTTATGATTGGTTAATCAAATAGACTTCTCGCATTTGATTGGTTCATGTTTCCTCAATGGCGAAGGTAATGGAGGTCAAGTCTGAACCTCGTTACTATTTTCTTTTCAAGTTTGCCTCGATGGTAGGACGTCTGCAACGGCGCTGCTAAATTACTCTGACCTTAATTTTAGTTCCAACAATTAACATTTAAAAGAGAAAACAAACCCCTAAAGAAAACTAAAATACCAGTAATATGTCTGTATTGATATACAACAGGACCTGTCTGACTGTTTCTACCGTGTAAATGAGTGCACCCTACGTTTACTGGTTTATCCACCTTTTGTGAAACGCGACTGGGTATAGTATACTTGCTAGAAAACACCTTTTCTAAAACAATGTCAGTAATCAGTGATTTTCAGTCTGTCCTACGTTTAAAGTTAAATACAAACCTGCTATGTTACTGCACGTGGTCTTAGGCAGCTTATTGCATTTCATCTCCACTCTTTTCAGTTCCTTATCATCACTCAAATCGTCTTGGGTGTTCGATTTTCCAATACCTCTTCCAATTACACAACTGACTCCGTCAAATATTTCCCTTATCATCGAATTGAAAGGTGAAAGAGTTTTAAAAAATCAGATTGAATTCTTGCTGATGTACAAAAATGTTAATTTAAATCTCTTCAAATTGCGAGTTTTTTTCCAGGATCGCATGTGAAAAAAAATGGGCAATTGAAAATATTACCAAAATTAGAAAATCCATAATTTGACAGTCATGAAACTAGTTTCCACCATATATTTCAACATGGTGATGAAGCTTATGGAAATGGTTGATTTTCTAATGTGGATGCATCTCTATACTACGGAACTTTTTCACTCAAATGTGATGAAATTGACTAGAAAGTGTTCACCAACCTATGATAGTTTTGGGCTCTCTTCTTCACCGCCCAATGTCTTTTCACCTGCGAACTTCGAAGTTTGCTCTTTTGTAAAATACTTCGGGAACGTATCGTCTCGCTCTCGTCGTCCATTTTCCGTCTTTTTTGGGCGGTCACGCCGGTCGCAATCCTGGCCGTGTTGCTGTGGTCACAAATTACTACCGACGAGATGGTCTTGGCAGCTTTGTTGAGATTCTGTTTCAGTTCTTCCTGAAGCAAGATATTGTACACGGCGAATATCGAGTCGCATTGTCTTGACTCAACAGCGCAACTGACTTCAGTTCTCGACAACTCCATAATCCCAGCGACAGCTTTGATTAACTATAATATAAAATTTACATACAGGTTTATATATAGCGAGCTCCACCTGGTTTGTGCATATCAGAATCGGGATAAAGTGACTCCATCCATATTAGCCTTTTCCCAATCGAACAGGGTACTAGGTCTAGTCGCGAACCGCAAAGCATTTATGGACTGTTAGGAGGGACAAATGCTCTCAGACAGGAGTGGATCCAGCACTAGTGCACTAATTTGCATGACACAAGAAAACTGCTAAAAATAACCATTTTGTTTTGTAATGCAAATTAGTGCACTAGTGCTGGATCCACCCGTGCTCTCAGACCTATATTTCCTGTCTCTCCAAACAGTCCATAGATGCTTTGTGGTTCGCGACTCGACCTAGTACCCTGCTCGATTGGGAAATGGCTAATTTCTGGAATCCAAGCAACCTCGTTTCCAAGGTCTTCTGTGTTCACAGACACAGATGTAAAGTTTCGAAATTAGCACATTCTGAATCTAGATAATGCGACGCATTTCCTAAATATAGGCTACTTTTGTGTTTGAATCCATTTTAATAGGACTTACCTTTTGTTTTGTCACTTTGTCAACATCTGGTGACCGGAATATCGCCTGCTTCTTCCTCCCAGAACATAACCAAGGGTGGATGATGATGTTCTGGATTGTGTATCTTCTCGATGAATCAGGTTGTAGGATGTTTGATAGCAAAACTGCACATTCTGAAGAATAAACACGGCATAAACTGAGATTAAAATACAGTTGACTGAACTGTTGTGTTCGAACTTATTTTACCTCTCCGTAACTCCGGTCCGTTCATATTGACCGCTAAACTTAACTAAAATGAGCTGAACCAGATTGATCAGAACTAAAACTGAGTTAAAATGAGCTGATTAAAACTGAATTGGGCAAGCTTGAACTTAGCAAGTGTCTGCAAACTCCCATATGAGCTTATGTAACCATATGAGCTTATTAAAACACCGAATTTTTAGTCGTATACCGATTTGACGTATTAATTTATTTAATATTCTAATAACTATATATATATATATATATATATATATATATATATATATATATATATATATATATATAATTTGTACATATATATTGATATACCAGATATACCATATATTAATTGGACGTTTTAGACGAATCCATATTTTAATACTTGTATGTACATACTTTTTTGTAAGTCCACTGTACTTTTTAACTTAAGGTGGATTATTAAAGAGCTTATTATAAAAAGATATCTTTGATACTGAGTTGAATTGTTTACAGCACGATTCTTATAACAAACCTGGATTCAAAACTTCCATCTTTTCCTGATGAACTCTAGTCAATCCCTTAGAGATAAGGCTGACCAACTTTCCATAATTGCAATTTCTATAAATCGCGAGACAAAACATTAAGAATACATATACTTTCGTATAAACATCGGTAAAGCAGAAACAATTAAACGACGATGATTTTGTTAGGGTGTAAATAACTGATATGTAATATGGTTACTATTTCAGTGAATATATTCATTACCTGAATGGTAGTTGGCCTATTAGCATTCCATATAAGATGATTCCTCTATATACAACGAGAAATGGAATAGTGAGAGCGTGAATGAGGTTTACTACCAAGAAAACATCGCACTCCACTCACAAACTCCAGACATCGACTTCAGTTCCATATTTACAGTCTCTTCGAAAAAGTTCCGGAGCTGCGTATTCCGGTGATCCGCATTTTGTGCTGAGAAATTCGCCTTTGGAGAAGACATTACTGAGACCAAAATCTAATAAGAGAGGTCAATTCATAATAATACGACGGTCGACGAAGTAAAAAACTTACACAATTGCTTCTTACTCTTGCTCAAGTGTCGTTAAAAAGGGAGAGGGGGGATTTTCCCCTATTTTGTAAAAACACCAAGGGAGCACGCCCTTTCTTCAAATCATTACTAATCAGTGTTTGTCATTATTCATGTTCGAAACCTTAATTAAAGTTGTCTTTTAATATACTGTATTCAGCCATGTGTGTGAAGATGGAAAGCTCAGTAACCCACCAATTACTTTGATCATTCTCTTATCAGCGCCTTGCAACAGTATATTCTCCATTTTCAAATCCCTTTACAAAGAGAAAAACAGAAATCTGAAGCGAAGCCGGAAACTGAGTTGAAGCTAAAATTGTCACGTCCAGTGTATTTTAAGGTCAGTGATACAGACCCGGAATTCGAAATTGGAATTTTAATCACGGTGCGAATCAGCGAATCAGTCACGCCATGAATGACTAATAAAACACAAGTTCACTTTTGGATAATTTCAAGATTATGCACCATGTTTAGCCAGAAATTTTTATCAGTACAGTCGCTATCCGTGTTAAGGTTCAGGGATAGTGACCCGGATGGCTTGAAATGTTAATTTCTGTGCGAATCAGAAAGATAGGTACCTTATGAATAACTAATGAAACACCCATTAAACAGTTCACTTTTAAACTCCCAGATTTACAACGTATGTGCAAGTAAAGTACTGCGGATATGTTCCTGTTTCATATTGACGGGACTGGCTATAGTGATTTTAATTTTTTGCCAACTCTTCAAATAAACTCTAAATATAACTATGAGTGTGAAACAAACTAGGTAAGCACTCCTGTCAAGCTGTGATAACGAAGGTGCATTATTTCAGCACGTGTTTTAATGACGCGCTTCATGCACTGGTAAGCACGCGCACGAGGTCGTGTGCTCGCGATGTCGTGTCAACATATTGGTTTTGGTTGCGCTTCGATCAATACGAGCAGATCAAAGTTACCTCAAAATGTTGACATTTTGAATGCGGGACTATCCCATGCAAATAAATGTACACACTGATGTTGCCAGTACTATTATGAATTTACCAAATATCGCTTTGCGACATAACAATTTTACAGTCTGCGATCCGAATACGACACAAATATAGGTATTAACACCAAGTATTTCATCGTTAAACTGCAGAGTATATACATGCACTGGGATATAGATTTTTTACAATTGCATCTAACTGCACGGTACAAGTAACTAATTGATCAAATTTAGTTTGCCCGAATTACCACCACTTGACACCTCTTGAACGTCGCATTTCGACAAACACTTTAACTCCATAAGTTTCCTACGAAGCGGGAAGCTTCCTATGCATGTTGATATGACTTTAATTCGCACGTTTGAGGTTGTTGGAAATAATAAAGCTTAATGGCAGGCTTTAAATTGAAATTTTGCAAAAGGATTAAAGTGGGTTGCAAGAATTGCTGTTATTTCGAGCAGAATGACAGGAGTCAGGTATTTTTTTGCCGGCATATTCTTCTGTCATTCGGCCTCGGATTTTATATATCTGGGCTAGCCTTAGCCTTTGACCTGATCTTTCAACAAGCCTGGCTTAACCATATTATTGTACGTTTGCATGTTGACATCAAATAAGTAAATTAGCTTGTAGGTACACCATGTAAGTATTTAATACTGCAAAGCTTTCGGTTTTACTGGTAAAAGCACAGTGCCATTGTCGAATTCTACCTCTAGGGCTAGCACCGTTCTTGGGTACCGTGACCTATTTCATTTGGAAGAAGTTAATTGTGTCCAAATCTGAACGCATCCTAAGAAATTATTTTAGCAAAACATAACTTGTACGTTATACATTTCAAAATAGGCCGGAGAGCAGCTTGGCAGCTTCTTGGAATATTCTCCGCTCAAAATATACCGAAGAAACTTTTCGATGATTCGAGTTAAGGATTTAAATTCGAGTTAATCGAACAATCAGAATAGAGTATTTTGGAAATGACCACGATTTAACTGCACAAGTGTAGAAAAACTATTCAACTGGTCTCTGGAGAGTTTAGTATGCTGCCAAAACACGTTTGATGAAGGAATATTTTGCTATGAAAAGGATCAGGTACATGACCTTCCTCTCATTTCTTGCTACAAACAACAGACTTGAGCGCATATTATTAGCGTGGCGATAAATGGCGATATGAATAGAGTATTTGGAAATGACTACGATTTAACTACACAAAATGTAGGAAAGGGTTCTATTTAACTGGTCTCTGGAGAGTTTATTATGCTGCCAAAACACATTTGATGAAAGAATATTTTGCTATGAAACAGATCAGGTACATAACCTTCCTCTCATTTCTTGCTTTTAACAACCAGACTTGAGCGCTTAGTATTAGCGTAGGCGATAAATGGCGATAATTGGCGATAATTATAATGCAATCAAGACACGAGTTAAAGGTCATAAAATCAATACAAATAAATACACGTGTTCGAGCCACACAAAGCGGAACGACTAATCCCGTTTCCACGTGCTTCCACGGGTTTTCCCTCACGGTTCAATCAAGCGTGCCGTCGCTGTCAGCTGGCGTCCGCTAATTTCTGGCACCAAAGCCGGACAAATATTTGTGTCGATGATGCTTGCAGTCTTGTGCCAAAATAGTGGTCTGTGACGCCAGTGACGGCCTCAAAAATTACTTTGTTTTAGTCGTATTTGTATCTTGAATAGCTGTCTCCAACCTAATCAGCGTCGGTCTGTTTTATAGAGGTATTTAACGTTAACTAAATGGCTGAAATGCCAAACGAATGTCAGGCGAAATTAAGCGCTAGATTTAACCACCCAAAATAAAGTTAAGAGCTTTGTATAATTGTACAGGGTGTCTCAAAAAAAACGCAACCACTTAGATATGCAAGACATCAATATAGCTCTGAAGCAAAATAGATAAGCACCTCTGGGAATTGAAAATGATGGCTCTTAATCCTTCATTTAAAATGCTAAAAGTCATTTTAGCTGAACTGTGGTGCAAACCCGAACAATATTAATATTCTTGCATATTTAAGTGGTTGCGTTTTTTTTGAGACACCCTGTATAACCGACCCATAACTTCCGAAACTTGACTAAACACGTGCAGATATAATCAAATATGTAACATGACATATACAGTGTATGTACCTTCATTGCCAATGCAGGGTGTATGAAAAAAATGCAATTGCAACCTTAATTCCAAGAGGCCTACGATCGTTTGTTATATTGCTGCAGTTTTTTGATACACCCTGTATAATACACGCCAAGTAACGATACATTGAGGGTAGCCACTAACTTGTCAATATGCATGCACCCCACATTTGCATATTAATAACAATTTCAGTTTGGCAACTTTTCAACGTAAGATGCATCGTGGTTATAAAATAACAATTGATTATTACATATTGCGGACATTAGCAAGAAACTTGATCAAAAACAGGGGGGTTTATACTTATATTGATCAGTATATGATTGGGTAGAGGGCTGTCCCACACTGAGATATGAATGAAACATAAAATATTCATTGACACGTCTAGTCGAGGGCCACGCAAAAAACCCAGGCTTCCCTGAGCGTACATGACCAGTTTTATATGACCAGTTCCATAGCAGTTTAAACATGGATATATACTCTGACAGGGTATTTCGTGTTAACTGGGTGAAGGGCAAATTACACCTCTTCAAAGTAATGGATTTGCTGGAAAAAAAAACGCAGCGACCCCAGCGCGACCCCGGACACCGAAAGCATCTGACGATAATGCCAATTGTTGTTGTTTTCAAGCACGCACACGCGTCGATCCAGAAGTGCCAAGCTATCACGTGTTTGATTTCGCATCGTTTTTTCGGCGTCACCGGCTGAGTAGCTTGAAGATACTGAAGTGCCAGACTGGAATTGGGCCGGTCTTTGAAAGTCCACTTTAAATTAAACTCGGTTTAATGGCACGGTACGGCTAAAATGGGTACCGGCCAGTGCTGCAGTGCCCATTTTACTTGTGCTCGGCCTTTGTATTTGTAGCTTTGGCACGGGTAAAACGGGGCTCGCGTACCAATTTTAGCCGTGCCACTGTAGCGTAAATTGGACTTTAGTACAAGATAACCTGGGTCATGCACTATCGATTTATTAATACTATCTGCAGGCGGTAGTTGGGTGCAGTAAAGAGATAAATATCACACCTGTGAACGATTCGTCTCTGATGAAGGTAATCGAGAACTGAAACGATTTGCTCAAAATACCATCTTGCATCTTCTTCGTTCAACTTTCCTTCCGCCTTCCCTCGTACGAAATTCAACAAATCTCCACCGTCGACATATTCCATTATCAAACAGCAAATATTTTTTGTCTTGAATGTTTCGTGAATTTTTACGATGCAAGGATGGTTGAGCTTGTTCAACGTGGACACTTCGCGATAATAGTTTCGTCTCATGGTAGCTGCTTTCTCTCCTTGTATTTCTGTGATCTTGATCGCAACCTAGGTTGAAATAGTTAAGAGAAAGAATCTGTAGGCAAGTTCGGGCTGTAAAATAGGTCAGGAAAACCTTTTCTTTGCTCTGAAAGAATGTTTTATACTTTTATTCAGCCCTTCGCCAAGTTGGCTTGCAATTGTTAGATCTCGTTGGACAAGGCAGTGAAGGCACATTATATATGTTGCAAACGATAAGGAGACGTTTTATAGCGACATTCTCTGGCTCAGTGGAAATTTATTGAGCGAGCAAAAACAGTTTGCCAGTCTTCATTCGCTTAAAGAAAGCCTACTTGTTTGTCGTAGACTACAAATTCGCCAAAGCTTGGTCGATAAATTTTATCCGGCAAAACGGCCACGTCAATACATTAAATATATTTGCTAATCTTAAACTAGGATGGATCATAATGTCTTATTAATAGGGATGGCAGATAAAATTAAGAACAGCCATGAAAACGGACGATTTACGTCACCACAAATATCCCGATTTTCCTATAGCGACAAAATCACTTCAAGTACTAATGGACATTTAGTTTTTAATCTATCTGATCATTCAAACGATTAAATTAAATATTCATTGTAAAGTGCGTAGGGTTCAATATAAGAATTTTCGGGAGAAATTCATGTTGTACATATGCCTGTTAAAATTGGCTTTTCATATAAGCCCTACCTGTTGTCGAAAAATTTTCAGGCGAGTTTTGAGAAAAGGTTAAAGATTACGACCATTACTGTTGTTTATAAAGTTATATGCAATAGTTCAGAATTGATTAAGTAAATCTTAACATATCAGTTTTAACTCACTTATTTCTAGTTTCTCATGTACATATGTACAAATATATAGGGAGACGTTTTACGCTTCTCTGACTCTGTGTAAAATTTCACGGTACTTTCGAAAGGCACTGACGAAATTCAGTTTCTTGTACGCTATAGAATTTCTGTCAGTCTGATATATAGACTATCACATTGAATCACTAGGAATACTATACAAATAAAAATATTTCGTTCTTTTTTATCATGAGAAAACTGCATTGCCAGGCGAAACATTTCGATGTGATTTGATAACACGTAATAATATTCTTCAATGCGAACTCTGAAGCGATCAATTTGACCGTTGGTCTGTTAGAGGAGGCAGGTTAGATTATTTCAGAAAGTTTTTTTTAGGAGAGTGATAGATCTGCGGCATAAGTGCAGATAATTGTGTTTTGAATAACTACTAAACTATGTGTCGAATCTTCCTATAAAGTGAACAAACACAACCAAACTACCTTTATATTTGTCAAGGTGTGGAGAGCCAACTCAACGAAGCCAAAATGGCCTTTTCCCAGCGTTTTGCCAAGAAAATTATAATTTCCCAGCTTTTTAATTTGATTTTCCTTCATTATCTCTTGTTTACATTTCCGGCTGTTATAACGTCATAGCCGTGGCTGCGATTTCCCACATATTCAGGACATCTGCCGAGCGTGCCGCTATTCGGCGCTTCTCATTGGCCAGAGAGAGAATGGGCGTTTGCGTCAATTAATTGGGGATTATTAATCCCTGGATCAAGCACGCACGCGCACGAGCAAACACACTAAAATTTTATGATAAAACAAAGATTAAATTTTGCGGTGTTTCGGGGGGCGGGAATAGGGTTTAGCTTGCGGTAACTTTCCATTCCTAAAACCTTCGCACCGGATGCTATAAAGTATAAACTTAGAACATAGAAATACTAATTTCTTTTTTATCATCGAATCTGAGTTGTTTTTTGGTAAGCCTATGGGTGGTCTGTCAGGAGAATAACAACTAGACCGGAACAATAAGGCTTTATATAAAATCCAGAAAATTGCAATAAAGAATGAGAACAACTCGAATCTTCCGGTAGGAATCGAAACTATTTATGCTTCGCGATTCTGGAGCAGTGCCTCTATCACTATATGTACTTAGTAGCGAAACAAAAATTGGACCGCTATAACATCTTAGATTAAAACTGTGAGGCAGGAGGTAAGGCATAGCCTTATTAAGCTACTTGGCCACATTTATTCGAGAAAAAATAGACAAAGTAGACATAGACATAAACAAGCAACAAATAGACATAAAGAAGTCAAATAGTCACTCGAGGGAAGCGGGTGATTCACCCGCGCAAAAAGGGATTTGGGTTGAAATTATAAGCTACAACTAACAGCCGACCAAAAGAGGTAGATATACAACTTAGAGGCGTGTGTTACGACCTAGCAACATGCTTCAAATCAAAAACAATTATTCGTGTTTATGAAACCAGGTTTATCATCCTTGTCATCATTATGATGCAGATGCTGCATTTGTTTTTTGTAAAAATATATCAAATGACCGTAGGCGTCAATAATTCGTTTTGAATTGAATTGTATTAACAATTCTACAATTTGTTTTGTTATACTATATTGAACTCCATATGCCCATGTACGTCAGCATATGCAGGAAGAACATTCCTTTTTTAGTTATCGTCGTTAGATATATTAGAATTTGTTTTTTAAATATGTAGTTTGATAACTTATTTATATACCGACAGCTAAAAATAAAAATGAATTCAGTGACATATTGTAATATCGCTGTCAGCCTAGCTGATAAGATCATTTGTTGCATGGCCTTTTAAAAAAGTTCAACTCGATAAATGTGTATATTTATATACCCGACAGCTAACAAACCTGACTCTCATTAACTGTTATTAAAATTTATCGCCGACCGAATATCGCTGTCCGCAATTTCCTGTGGTGATCTGAGAAATTAAGGTAGATTGTGCAAATGTAAACTATCCTTTATCGATTCGATCGTAAGTAAAGGGGAAAAGGAAAACGTTTATTTCCGAAAACAAATCTTAAGCCAGCATGGTGTCTATATAAATTACGAATCTCAAACACAACATATCATATCATAGACTCATAAGGTCTCATATACCAAGAGTTGTACACTAACGGCCTTGCAAAAAGCTCGACTTACACTAATGCTCACGGAGTACGACATAAAATTAGCATTCTAGCTGATCAAAAAGTGCGCTCTTCTCCTCGCCTTTCTCAACCAATGACAAGATTTATTGTGTCGGTGAACTTGAAATCAGTAAGCTCTGTTCGAATGGAACTCTAGGATAGCGATACGAGGTGATCATGCAGTTCAATTCGACGCTTAAAAGTTTTAGTGCATGTACACGAGCGAGGGTCAGCGAGCTATTTGAATATAGACATAAGATACGGTTAAATCTATAATCTGATATTCAATTTGTGCGTCAGTGACATCGTTCATGAATTCATATGCATTTTCGAGATAAAATCTGCAATCAATCGACGCTATAAAAACTTTAAAACGGTCTCAAAGCTTATCTTTGTATTCATATAATAAGCTGTGACAGTAATTCATTCGCTGCTAATGGATTTTGAGACGATGAAAACTAATTTCGACCGAGAAAAATAACCCTCAGCGAAGTTATACGACTTTCAAACTGTCCAATTAAACGCTTGGAAATGAATGGATGATGACATTGATCTATGACAGGCAAGGAGTTCAGTTGAGTACCTCGCTTTTTAATTATACGCTGGGTTGTTGACGTAAGGGGTTAAAATAAGATGTACGTTTTCAATAATTTATCAGATTTCTGCGTATACGTCAGACCGCTAAACCTTTCTGTTGGGACGCCGGATCTGTGAGGTTAAAGGCAGCTGTCCCTCTCCCCTTTATTACCAAGGGCTGGGGGAGCCCTCGATCTAAAGAATTAATCGACTTCATTGCACGAATATAGGATTTTAATATCGTCATACGTAACAATGTATGTAACTGGATGAATGTCATGCACTGGCCGTTGAAATATAATTCGGTTATTCGGGGATGTTAGGGATCTTAAGGCCCGTTTACATTTGCGACATTTGCTGCAATTTTATGTGCGAATTTCTTCTTTTGATATAGATGTGAACAAGTAATAAGTTACAAATGCTCTGATGTATACGTCCTCAGCTTATAAGTTTATAAAGTGTTAATAAATGTAGGAAGCCTGCATTGAAGACGTGCACAGTAGTTTTCAGTTTGAAACAGGGTTGCTGTTCACGTGTGCTTTACGTGCGGAGTGCATTAACGAGGCATGTCTTAACTAGATATTTTCAAATTTTTCAAATGTTTAAATCCATGTTTAGGTACGGATTTAGTTTTCGTATTAAATGCCGCAATTACGAGATGAGCTATGGTCTGTTCACTCCACCAGATCATAGCGATCTGAAGGACGTTCACCAAACAGCGGTCAAGCCAGTCACATTGAAATGTTCAAAAAAATACAATTCAAACCAAAATCTGGACTCCAGTTATACGCGCATATCACAGTATGATTGTGTCAGCGGATGAATTTAAAAGCTCATCCGTTTTTTTATTAACCTTGTTTAATATCAGTTTCAGTAGACGAATAATGTAATGATGATGTAAACAACAGTTGACCGAATAAAGTTCCAGGTCAATATCTGTAGACCGAAATAATGTTTCACAATAAATTTGCGTGGTGCATCTCTGAAATAAATGTTGATAATATATTCCGCCATCTCGTTTGTTTGATTGCACCGATTCAAATGAAAACGTACGTCAAAGAGTTGAGTTTAGACTAGCACTAACCAATACACCCTCGCGACAATCAATAAAAGTTGCGAAAAATGCAATCAAGCTGCTTTTTTTTTCCGGTACAGCTTTCTTATCAATTCGGTGGTGTATACGTAATCCCTAAAAAAAATCTGCAAATTCCCGTGACAAAGTGTGTATAGCTATGTGTGTATTGATAGATATCGATATTTGCTCGAAGCTGTACCATCTGCGTTAAAATTGAAGAGAGAACTTTTGAAATTGTTAGATAGTTAAAACTCTAACGTGCTTCGAAAGTCACGGGTTGGCACGAGCCGCCTCGGTCACATTTGCGGGGGCTTAGATATCAAATTTATCTAATGACTTTATTATTTCCTGTTTCGCTATGGGTAGGGCCTACTTCAAAAATCAAAAACCAAAATATTCTGATCTCCCACAACACCTATGTAAAGTTTGCGGCTAAACTTTTTTAAATATTCTGAAAACAACGGCATGCAGTCGTGCTATGGAACATAGCCCAGTGAGCTTCGTTAGTAAATCGTTACCTTTAGCTAACTCTACGTTTCTTGTCAAACTTTGGCCTTTCGCCAAAGAGTGGCTTCGCTTGAAACTTCCAGGTTCTGAGGAAATTTTCATGTAGTTTAGTATCACAGATTCTCATATAAGCCATACGTTTAAAGCCTTGGTTATACATATAAACATCGAGTATCGACGGCTTACAAACTACAAAGTAGAATAACCTAGACTATTCGATATACCTTAATACAATCTGTACTACACGATACACACGAAAAAAAGTCATCAAGACAAAATTAAACTCGGCTTGAATCAGCAAATTTCACCGATAATTTTCTGCCTGTGACACATGTCAAAACGCTGACGCATAAGCGATAATATATGATCTGTTAACATATAAAATATTAGCATTTGCCATCGTTTTATTGGATCGTTCCTACGAATGTAGGGATCCTAGGCAGGCTTGCCGTTATACAAACCATGTTCAAACTAGCGTATGAGAGAGCCAGAATTATGTAATATAGGAATGGTTGTTTGACTAAGTTATGGTTCACATGGAACTTCACATGGCACATGCCTGACCACCCTACACAACATTAAATATGCGTGGCCTATTGTCTCCGACACGTGGCCGACAGAAATTAGCGATGTTAGACCACATTGTGCGCTTGGGACAGTATTCGGTTCTTAAAATAGCCAAATGCGAAAATTTTTATCGAAATCACGCCAGAGAAACTCGAGCGAGAGCCCGTATTCACTAATTGATCGAAGTTTGTCCACTATTTGCGGTCACAGGCAAAATTTCGTATGCCGGTTCGCTGTAGCCGTTGCTATAGCTACCACGGTGGACCAATTAGATTGAAGTGTTGCTAAAATTGGCATCCGGCGTCCTCACGATGTTGCGATGGCTTGACGTGTCAATAAAATGCATGAACGTAGCGTCGCTGCTCGTACCGAAGGGCATAAAACCACAGAGATCATTGCGAGTTAGTTACTCAATAGCTTCGAGTCAGTGAAGAGAACTGACCCACTTCTAATGACCTTCTGGCGTCTAGCACTAATTTCAGATAGATTACAGACACTGTGTAACTGGACACGGATAATATATTCTTCTTGTGTACTCCAGCTAAATATATAGCGCTACAAGAAGTATTATATTTATCGATTCGCTCTGGCAACTTGTATTGAAACGGACTTCCTGAGCTGAGAAAATATAAGGACAAGCCTACGGTTTCTCGCTAAGAAAATACATTCGAGGTGGAATTCACGTCGACGGATTGTTCAAAACGTTGTATATCTTTCAGTGAGAACTGCTTCCGTGAATCGTGGACAAAAAGTTGGATGCATAAACACTAAAAAGCTACAAGAGTTTCTGCTGACCTTATAATAATCCCAACTACTATTGCGGGAATTCGGAGATATACGTTGTAGTATATTTGTATACCTTTCGCGAGCTCAGCCGTTTGATGTTATAAGATCGGAAGAAGTCGATCAATTGAACAGCTGAACGTAAACCACGCACTGATCTTTAACGGTCAACACATCAACGACCACGCGTGTCAAATTTGATCCCCTGCACGGGCGAACGGAAGATCAGCTATCTCGTCGAGAGTTTAAGGAAAACACAGTCGAGAGAAAACACAGTCATAAGTACCGGACAATTAGCTGGAACGTACGAAGAGTTTTGTGCGCGGGAATTAGCGTTTGACATATTCATATATTTCGGTCTGCCGAGCGGTGTATTTTGAATCCTGGAAAACTACGCGAGGATGGTTTTACAAGGCAGTAACGGGCAAGCTAACTCGTCGTGTGCCTTGTCGACAGCCCAGCCGGTTAAAAATTCCGATGGCAAGCACGATTCGAAAGGCGATAAAAGCGATCATGTGAACAGCAAGAACGACCACGTGAAGCGTCCGATGAACGCGTTCATGGTTTGGTCACAAATCGAACGGCGTAAAATGGCCGAGGAACACCCGGACATGCACAACGCGGAGATTAGTAAACGGCTGGGAAAGCAGTGGAAATTGCTAAGCGAAGCCGAGAAACGACCGTTCGTCGAGGAATCGGAGCGACTTCGTATACGACACATGCAAGACTATCCAGATTACAAATACAGACCACGTAAAAAGAAAAACCCAAAGAAGCCAAATACTGAACCACAGAAACCCCTGCCAAATACGATCGATGCAAATGGTTTCCAAGTACGACAGGTGGCAACCATGGGGTTGCCCAAACCTAACCCCGCCTACAATTTCGTACCGGACGCACGGCTCTTTAACAACGATATCAGCAACATGAAACAACGTTACGATGGGTTCGCGACTGTACCCATTGCTAACCAGCCAATTCGCAGCGTACCCGACTCGATCCTAACAAGTCCTGACGATCACATCGACCAGCTGTCGCTCTACGAAGATTTCGACCAAAAACCAGCCCTGAACGGCATAAAGAGGCAGTTAAATGCGCCAGCACAAGTGCCTACGTCGTGGCCCAACCTTGAACTTTCGGGACTTAACATTAACAGCCTCTCCATGTCGCCGCTGTTAGACTTTAATACAGGAAATTCGCATTTTGACTTTCCTGATATGTACACGCCACCTGAAGTTTCCGAACTTATTCAAGGCCAATGGCTCGAGAATAGCCTTGGGCAAGTTACGAACATGTAGTCCATTTTATTCGTAGATAAGTATTTTAGAACTTATATATTGTTGCAATTTATTCGAAGCGGGGGACGTTTATCTACTGTAGAATTTATTGCCCAGTCGCAATTTCGGTAATGATAGAGTAGGAAAAACTATTTAATACGAATGCTGTCCTCAATTAGGCCAGAGACTGATATGGTTTATTACATGCTACATATCTTTACGAGTTTTTAACTAGATTCCTCGTGCAGAAATTCCAGAGAATATTTTCAAGGTTGAGGATATTGGCTTATATTTGCGCCAATAAAACCCAAAATAGATAGCATTTGCGTGTGTGTATAGATTTGTGTGTGCTCTCTGTTGACTTTTATTAATTTGAATATTCACTATTTTATACCGTCAACTGCCAGTGGCTTGCACGAGATTTGATATTTTGACTACTTTATATATTGCGTTCAAATTTACTTTGGATAGAGATTGAAAGATATTTTGCGGTCAATTTGGAACAGCTAAACTGTATAGTTATTAAAATAACACTGCCACAGGATGTTATGCAAATTTAGATTGGTTAGGAAGGCCCAAAACGTTGCAACAAGTTATGTAACACGCACCTTTACTAGAATCTATAGCCGGTTTGAGCTATCTGTTTCGCATGTACATATAAATTTAATATAAATTTACAAACAATAGTTTGTCTTTTGTTCGTACACATTGCAAAAACTTATATAAAAACTGATTTATACATACAATAATATTAACCTTACGTTGTAAATTTTATGAAGTGTGAATTTTTTATTTATTGAAATATTTGAATATGTACTATGAAAAATATATGAGTCATTATTGTAATATTTATGTACGTCATTATCCGAAGATTTATTAAATTTTACTTGAAGGCAATACTGTTAATGTCGCAACTGGATAGGCACTTGAAACTCTAGTCATGCGCAGCTAATTGAGGTCAGCTTATATTGGACATTCGGATAATATAAAGAAATTATATAATCGTTAGCCTTGGCCTTTTGATATGTTTTGTATACAAACTTCGGCAAACCCGCGTCGTCTTGCCTTGCCGAAAATTTCGTGTGCCAAAAACCAACTGATTGAGCAAAATAATTACTTTAAAAAATATATGACTGGTGTATGTTTTAAAGACGCCATTAAAATGTAACATGTGACAACTTGCCATTGCAATGCAAATGATGTTATACAAAATTTGCTCATTCTAAAACGATTTGCATTCATAGACGTTACCGCGATTGACCTTTTAAACGAAATTTAGCAAGTTTTCTTGGAGAGCATAAAAAATATTCAAAATGGCCCTGAACTTTGAACTCAGACTTAAATTGGTGGGAGAGGTGATGAGATTTCGATAATGATATAATAGCCTACGACTATGGGCAGTAAATTTCCGTAGTATTTCTGTTGTGGTCTCACAATGAACGTGGTCAGGCTATGCACTATGCAGAGGCAGGATTAATGCAAATTAGTCTTGCATCAGGTACTAAATATACGCTTTAATACTTAACTCTTTCCTCATTAAATTTGAACGATTTAAATTCCCAGTTCTATGGCCAAAGCTAGTGTAAAAAAAAGCGAAGTCAGTCAGTTGTTTTTCAACCCTCTGGTAGGATATTAAAAGAAGGAAGTTTTTCAGTAAAGGAAATGTTTTCTTAAATATTGGATTAAATGTCCTGGGGGCCCCAGTGAGAAAATGATCGAAGGCCGAAAATTGTCGGTTTTCCTAAGAAACCTCAGATCAATTAACTGGCCACTGCTCTTTTGCCAAATAACAAAATCATGTCGATCGATGCATAAAATTCGCGAAGTTTCCAGGGCAACCAGGTGGCACTGAAAGCATTTGTTCCATTAAATTTTAAAAAAATATAGAGAAAAATGGGGCTTCTAATAATGCACTATCAGTCTGCCAGGAATAGAACTTTGAAAAAATTAATGTTTCGTCTCATAGGAGACCAATTAGAGCTACTTCGTGTATCTGTGTGACTTTATTAGAACCCAAAGTAATTTTTGCCTTAATCAAAACCAACCGTGGACGTAACGAGTTAATCAATCCTGCTACGTACAAAACACCTACAAATATACTGCGTGGTCAGATTGGCAAGGACACACGCATAGCTATAGCTGCTTGACAAAGGAAGGTCTTAATTATCGCTTTCTTGCATGGGTGGTCAAACGCCTGAATTTAATAATTTCATAAATGGACCTCCTTAGTTTTGTAGCAATCACTTGAAACTCATAAATATACTAGCGTGTTTGATGTCTGCTGGTACCTCTTACACACCCGTAAGAGCGATGACATATTGACGGAGGAATTAAAAGCAAATTATATATGTTAAACACAGCTAAGTCAACATAACCCATGCAGCCCGTTCTTGGCAGGTAGACAAATTAAAATCGGAAAATTGCATTAAAGCGAAATCATAGCCATGTATATACTGTCTAGATCTCGAGGTTGGTCAGTATACGTGCCACGTCGGTCCATATTTATCTACGCGGTTGTCGTAAAGTAAGTAGATCTTCTAAAAGAGACATGCAAATTGAGCTATGTCGCATCTAAGATCAACCTAACTTTGCAGGTATCCACGATTCAGCGACGAATAGCAATCTGATGTAATCCTCACAGGCTGACAGACACGCGGTCACGCATGCACGCAAGTCATCAAATTGTATATAAATTATCATATATAATAACTTTAAAACTCAAAATATATATGCCATATTATAAATACATAAAAATATCACTGGTTATATAGTATGATTCAATTATAGTGTAAGCTTGTTGAACAGTAAAATATCAAAGCAATGAAAGGACTGACTATATAGTTAGTCAGAGGCAAAGAGTGATGAAATATTTTATTAGTTTGTTTTTTATACGCATAGAAAGCACGAGAACATCTCACTTGATAAAAAAAAGACGAAATTACAAAGCTTTCGAATCTAATTCCTTCTGAAAGCTAGGCGAACCTTGGATACAAATTGCATTGAATCCATTGATTATACAACCCAGACGATGTTTGGAAAATTTTATTACGAATATATAATTGCTTTTGTTATACGTCGGAATTGTCCCCTGTTTCATTTTAACTTAAATCAATACGACTGCAACGTAGCTAAATAAGTCGATTTTTTATAAACGGTATTGTGGTCACAATTAAGAAAAGAAGATGCAATATATAGGATGAATATAATTTGCACAGCTATGTCAACAACGACGGTCATTTGCATGCATGGCAAGTAACTATAATATCACCACCAAAAGAAATATGAAATTATGAAATTGCGATGAATGCCTGGATGTACAGATTTGACCGTACATTGGCGTCTGTAGTGATATTCAGTATCAAATTCAGTATATGCTTGGTCGAACTTCAAAACATTAGTCAAATTAGAGCAAGTATTTACTCTGCTACTGATGGAATGCCGTGTCGTGATGGCACGATGCCAATCGCAATAAAGTTCATGCAGTAAAATTTATCTGGTTCATCCCAAAGCCAAGGGGTGTTTTGGATTCCACAAATCCTGTATTCTTTAGTGAGCTAATGTTTGTAGTATTTCATGCATGAAAACTCCGCAATCAATGACAGTGTAAGATTCGACCAGCGGCATTTACGGGATTTGAAGTCATTTATACATGGAATCAACCTTATATACAGTCCATGGCATGGGTCACAGTCCATCGCCTTAGCTGTATATACCCACTGGAAGGCGCCGTCTTCAGTAACACTGAGTAATGATTAACGTAGAGAGTAACAGCGAAGACGCGACAATAGTGAAAAGTAGCATACGTTTGTCAGAGTAAAACATATACGAGAAAAATATTTGAAATTTCAGTAGGACAACACGGGCTACTATATGATTTGAAGCAGAGCAATTTGGTAATCGTAAATTTTCTTTTTGTTCCATGTCTCGTGACATATCCCACAAGAAAAAAATCCTGTTAAAAGATCATAATTATCACGTCTCTTAAAATGCCAAAAACTTTGCCAAACGCATTTGCACTTCAAGCATGCGATCAGTTAGGTATATGGAGCAATGAAGTAACTGCGATTGGAACATTAAGAAAATGTTAAGACTGAGATCCGCAAAATATTGCGAATACGCGAACATTTGGCATTACATATATTTCAAAATAAAAGCATTTGTTTTGCTTTTCTCAGGCAGGTTGTAAACTGAAATTGACCTGGGGGGAAAAGGTGACTTAAGTGGCTACTATACACATGTACGAAGTAGCTTAATAGATTGTTGATCTTGCCTACTACATACATGCACACGACCCTAGCAACAATAATAATGATCTAGCTGTTATACGCGTTGCATGTGATACACTATCTGTTCATTTATCACGGTGTTCGATTGAAGGTTGTTTGTTCCTTCGTCTTGTGATCTACTCATTTTGACCAGCAGAAACCTGTTGCAGCCTATTAAATATTAATATTGTTTTGAGGCGGCGAAAAATGTAATCAACCTATTTCCAAAGCCATGGGAAATGCCGTCGCAAATCGCAAATCATTACGGACACGGTGCGGTATTATTTAGTGTAAACGTCGCATATCACTGTGGTTACATCATGCATTTGTCATTTTTTCATTGAAAGATATTTGTGGCTTTTAACTATATTAAGCAGATGTCTTTTTTCACTGAAATTAAAAATACACTGTTATATTCGCGACGCTGTTTCCATCCAGCATCGATTTAAATCGTTTTAACGAGTGAAATGAATCTAGATTGAAATTACAGTAGGAACTGTGACCTTTTACCAAGACAGTGAAATTTTTCAATAAGCTGTTAAGCTTGCGTTTACACACTATAGACATCGTGGTTCAAGTCCAACAGTCTTCAGAGGCAAATATACTCGACTGACTGATATTGGTTTAGGCCCTGATTACGTTTTGTTTTGACAAACTAAAAAGCGAATATGATGTTCAAACAACATTTTACAACCTGTATATCGGACTACAACTCAGTCAGTTTTATAAGTTGGACGCTCCCGGCGTTGTGAGTTGTGAGAAATGATGATATCAGTTATAACTTCTCTCAATTTTCAGTTATACGGCTTGCGATTCTAGTTGAGAACGAATTCCAATGACGCAAGAGAGATTATTAGTTATGTTTTTCAAATTCATAGCACTGTCACTAGTGTAATTAGTTCCTAAAGTACTAGAGCATGCACGTAAATTTATCCACATTATAGATGAAATAGGTCGATTGCATCAGAATAGTTCTAAGTATAGCGTATAACATCACAAAATCGGTCAAGTTTTTTGTTATTATACTGTCACGAATGTAGTCATCTCGTAATGAGATCAAATATCGTATTTATCGTCAAAATCAAGGTTAAATTAACGATATATTCCCGAACGCTGGGAAGCAACAGGTGTATGGCAGATGTTAGATAATCCAACAGCATGTTGCTTGGCAACGAACCATGCTTGCAACAGGTGGCGGGAAGATCACACACCACGTGACTAGCAACGCGAGACAGCAACCAATCGCACGGCTGCAGACTGATATACGCTTGTTAACTAAATATTAGCAATATATGGCGCTACTATAAGTGATTTTGAGAGCGTTTAAAAAACTAGACGCTTTCATTAAACAATTTGGCGGAAATTTTGGCTCGTAAACATCCTAGCAGACAGTGAAATTGTTTAGAATAAATGTCCATATTTACACTAAGAACTGAAGGCAATAGGTAAATGTCATATATAGGCTAGAGTTCTTTGCAATAGGCAACGAGATGGGTTTCTCATGGACAAAACTTTGAGGTGGCAAAATTTTTGAGTCAGAGACTGTGCTAATATTTAAAAATTTCCATAAAATTTCCGTGACA